GTGTCAATTGATGTGTCAGGTAGCTCGTGCTCAGGATCTGGCGGCCCTGTTCTGGCGCCAGCGTCGCTTCGCTGGGTTGAGAGTCTGTAATTTGTAAAGGAGCTCGCCACCGCTCCACCTTTGTGCGACCTGTAAATGTGACAGATCTTGGTTCATCTTTACCCTGACTCGCATGTTTCTGCCTCTCCGCAAATATCCCTTTCATTTATTAGCGACAACCACATCATACGTGCTTGAACCGGAGACGCACTGGGTTGTGTCATAGAAGGATACGGGATAGACTGGCGTGAGCCGTTGTTTTTATTTATGATATAATTTTGCATCATACACGTCAGACGGATATGGGCCGGCACATGTGTTGGCTCGTCCCCTTCAGGAAGCGATACCGGTGTGCTCCAGATGGCTTGAGCGTTCAGGTCCCTGCCTGGAAAAGAACTAAGGCTTGCAGCTTATGCGTCTACGAACTTAGCCCCCCGAGGTCCAGCTAATTTGAAATCAATCTCTGTCTCCAGTTATCAAAGGTTTGGCTACCCGGCAACTCGAAATAACCCAAATCACCGCGAACAGCAATTTTGCTGCTTTTGACGACTTAAATCCGCCAAATCAACAAACACGCCCACTTGTCGACGTAACTTGAAGGTGTGGGTGAGTTGTCACGTTTTAGGGATTATTACTTGCTGTGTGTTAAGTTTTTACGAGATCCCTAGAGATTTCCAGGTAATTGACGAGATTCCTAGAGATTTCCAGGTAACTGATGTTTCCGCCCGGGATCGAACCGGGGGCCTTCCGCGCGTCAGGCGGATGTAATAACCACTACACCACGGAGACACTCCATGATGCCCGAGGAGCCAGCTGGTCGGGAGACAGGAGCCGACCGACTGACCTCGACATGACCATCTCTCTGGGGACGGGCTCACCTCAAGTGAAGGCTGAACAGTCGGTCAGCCATGGCGTCTCAATTATTCTCATCAGATGTGAATATCACCGGGGCTGTAGCTCAAGTGGTAGAGCGCTCGCTTAGCATGTGAGAGGTACGGGGATCGATACCCCGCAGCTCCAGAGCGGTGAACTAAGATTTTCATGTTAATGGATGTGTGTCACTTACGTTCATTGATTTCCCACCCCGTAAATGCAAAGAATTAACCTACGCATACGCGTATCCACAACAGACGATAAAGCGCTGCACGTTTTCTAATGGTGCGGTCGGACGGTTCGACCTCACCCTGCTCTGCATGCTGTTAACATGCTAGGTGCTATCTCAACATGATAAACTTAGCTTTGCTGGGTTGAAAAAGCGTACGTATAGAAAAAGTACGCGTTGCAGCGGGTTATAAACTAAGGCTTTTGTACCTGCTCTTATAAACGTACGTACTCGTATAAACGTACATACGCACGTTTGGATAAAGTATATGGGTTATGAAGTTTGCAACGGCAAAATTCGGCAAAAAAACTGCAAAAAAGTACGCACGTGTAAATTTTGCACGGTGAAACGCTCGTCGGGAAGCAAGGTTGAAACAAATGCTCCTCCGCGCGCAAGTTTTAATGGAAAGGGACCGTGAAAAATTGTTTGGAAGCAAATATTGGCGGCATATGATAGTGAAGGGTGACGTTCGTTTAGGAAAAGCACGTAAAGAAAAGGCTCGAATTTCATTATCTGATATAGAAATACAAAGCTGGGATGTAGATATCCATCCTTGGTAGCAGGCGTCGGATAAGGGCGGCAAGCGAATGAACTCTGAATCCAGGTGGTAGGGGTGAGATCCAGCTAATTTGAAATCAGTCTCTGCCTCCAGTTATCAAACGTCTAGCTTTTTGGCAACAAAAAAACAACACAAATCATTGCGAACAGCAATTTTGCTGCTTTTCACGACTTAAATCCGTCATATCAACAAAACACGACCGTTTGTATAGGTAACTTGAAGGTGTAAGCGAGCCCGGCGCATTGTGTGTTGTGTGTATTGGGTTGCAAAATAAAGCTTGCATAACCGCTCTTCGTTTGGATAAAGTACATGATTTATTCAGTTTGTAACGGACCGATTCGTGTAGAAAAGTACGCACATGTATAGGCAACTTATCTTATTCTTATTTTTGCCACAAGCAATTTCAAGTCACAATTCAACCCCCCAGAAGTGCCCATCCAGCCACAGCCCCGGCGATATTCGCATCTGATGTGAAAAGTTGAGACGCTATGGCCGACCGACCGGTTAGCGTTCACTTGAGTTGAGCCCGCCCCCGGGATGGTAGTCATGTCTGGGTTAGTCAGTCGGCCCCTGTCTCCCGGCCGGCTCTCTAGGATTATCGTAAAAAACTGAACACACAGCAAGTAATAATTTGTCAAAGAAGTCACAACTCACTCTCCCTTTTATCGTATTCCGTTTGGTCGGTTACCGAAGTCCTCATTGTGGCAGAGCTTTAACTACGCTTTGGATATGCAGGGGTATGAAATGATTGGACAAAGTCCCGATCGCTTTTCGATGTTGGCCCAAAACTCACACGCTGGAGCTGCGGGGTATCGATCCCCGTACCTCTCACATGCTAAGCGAGCGCTCTACCACTTGAGCTACAGCCCCGGTGATATTCACACCTGATGTGAAAAGTTGGGGCGCCATGCCTGACCGACTGGTCAGCCTGCACTTCATGTGGACCCGCCCCCGGAGAGCTTGTCATATCTAGGTCTGTCGGTCGCTCCTGTCTTCCGACCGGTTGGTTCATTATTAATTATTGGGCGTTTCCGTGGTGTAGTGGTTATCACATCCGCCTAACACGGTTCGATCCCGGGCGGAAACAAGGTTTAGATAGTGGCAATGACAGGGCTATTATGTCACGTTGGCAACAGATGAGTCAACAGTAGACAGGTCAGGGTATGATGTAAGCACCACATGACACGATGAATACTGGAGGGGCTCAGGTGATGGGACCATGTGTCAGCGCCGATATATCACGTGGCTCGCGCTCAGGGATTCGTTTTGGCATCAAGGTCGCTTCGTTGGGTTGAGAGTCTGTAATTCGTAAAAGAGCTCGTCACCGTTCCACCTTTGCGTGACCTGTAAATGTGACAGATGTGCTTGGTCTTCACCCTGATTCACGTGTTTCTTCCCCCTCCTCAAAGTACCCTGTAATTTAGTCGCGACAACCACACGATACGTGTTCGAACCGGAAGCGCTTCGGTTCGGTTCAGAGCAGAATGCCTGGCAGACCGACATGAGCCGTTGTTTTAATCGACAAGTATATTATTTTGCGTCATGCACCCTAGACGGATTGCGCCGGCACATCAGTTGGCTGGTCCCCGTCAGAAAACGAGACCGGTGTGCTCCAGATGGCTTGAACGGCTAGGTCCTTGCCTAGAAAGGAGCTAGGGCATGCGATACGTTAACCACCGTAGCCCTTTAGATCCAGCTAATTTGAAATCAATCTCTGCCTCCAGCTATCAAACGTCTAGTTGCTGGGCAACTCGAAATAACGCAAATCATTGCGAACAGCAAGTTTGCTGCTTTTCACGACTTAAATCCGTAAAATCAACAAAACACGCCCGCTTGTATAGGTAACTTGAAGGTGTAGGCGAGTTGTCACTTCTTTGAAGAGTTATGACTTGCTGGGTGTTAAGTTTTTACGATAATCCTAGAGAGTCGGTCGTGAGACAGGAGTCAGCGTTGCATGGGGTTGTAAAGTAAAGCTTGCATAGCCGCTCTTCCGGTGGATAAAGTACATGGTTTACTCAGTTTGTAACGGCAAGATTCGTATAGAAAAGTACGCGCATGTAAGTTTCTGATAGTGAAACGCTCGTCGGGAGACAGGTTTGAAACCGGAATAATCCTCCGCGCAAAAGTTTGAATGGAAAAGGGCCGTGACGAATTGTTTGGAAGAACATATTGGGGGCATATGATAGTCAAGGGGGATGTTCGTTTAAGACAAGCGCGTAAGGAAAAACACTTATTTCGATATCTGGTGGTAAGTGTACGAAGTTTGTTTGCAAATGTCCGTCATGCATGAAGTTCGTCCGCAGATGCGTATTACAAGCTGGGATGTAGATCTCCATCCTTGGTGCCAGGCGTCGGCTATGGGGTCTAAGGCGGCCAGCGAATGAACCCGGAATCAAGTGAGGCGGCACAAAGTGCCCGGGGATGGCGTTAACTGGAGGATAAGGATAAATGACAGGTCCACTGCATGGCACCCGCCAAGCGTGTTGTGATCCCCATTTATTTCTCGTCCTAACGATGTCTCTGTCGACTCTGACACCCCCCCGCGCGCCACTGACGCCAGCTGACGGACGCGGGCAGGAGCCAGCTCGATTGTGGTAGACGGCAGGCAAAGGCGCGAATGACACCCAGTAAATATTGCTAGTATGAAGTGAACCGTAGTCCAGAGAAATCAGTGCACCAGCTGGATCCGCTTTGATGCACCTCCTTTTATAAGCACCTTGTTTGCACCGGACCCGACATTGCACGAGAGAATCAGTTTTGAACTGTACGGTGGCTACAGCTGGACAACGGTCACTTGAATTCATACCTTAGGTTATTCCCGGAAGCCAAATTTCAGCGAAATTGGAGAGCTGATGGTGAATGAGTTTGAAGTCCTGGTGGTCGATCAGTCTTTCAGTATTCCCTATAGCAGTATCATCCACCATTCCGAGGTCAATTCTGTCTCTGCAACGTCATGTAGGCTTAACGGTCTGTATAGTTGGAAAATAGGTTCACACCCGTCCCTACATCACCGTTCCTACGGGTCTGCTACTCACGGAAAATGAGGTTACACTCACGGACCCCCGTTCCTACGGCTCTGCCGCATACGGACGTTTCGATACGTACATCTGACATACGAACTTGATACCTTGCGTGCATGACTTATGAACAACCGCGGACGGACGCAATGCTTAGGTTCTTTTTCCATACGTTCTTTTGTCATAAACCAACGTTGCATCCCGGTGACGGAACTTCGCTCAAGGCATTGGGAGGCTGCTAGCAATACTCGGAAGGGAGAGGGCCTTCCTCCCTCATACTGAAATGGACAGGTGAGTTCCAGCATACAACCTAATGGGACAAGCAGGCGTCGTGACTGTGTGGATGGCGCCGAGTGCCCAGGATTTGGCCCGGAGTGAGCCTCCGTTTGGGCTGCCGAGAGTTAGTTTTGACTTATTTGCTCCAGGAACTCATCGTCCCCATGACTTTGAAAGCTGTTGCTTTCTTTATTTTTACATTTCGCTTCTTTAATCTTTCTCTTCAACTTTAATTCACCTGACTTATCATCTTCCTTTTGCCGCATTCCGTTTGGTCGTGTACCAAAATCCTCATGTGGCAGAGCTTTATCTTCCCTTTGGATATGCAGGGGTATGAAGTGACTGGACAAAGTCCCGATCGGTTTATGGAGCGTAAAATCCATGGTTTGGAGCTGCGGGGTATCGATCCCCGTACCTCTCACATGCTAAGCGAGCGCTCTACCACTTGAGCTACAGCCCCGGTGATAGTTACATCTGAGGTGAAAATTTGTGGCGCCATGGCTGACCGACTGGTCAGCCTCCACGTGAGGTGGACTCGCCCCCCGGAGAGCTGGTCATGTCTAGGTCAGTCGGTCGGCTCTGTCTCCCGACAGGCCGGCTCGTCAGGCATTATGAGATGTTTCCGTGGTGTAGTGGTTCTTTCGATCCCGGGCGGAAACTGTATGATGGAGTTACGGCCCATCTGGCAGAGTTTTGCAACGCTAATTCCATGGTGTCTCCCGCATTGTCGCAGCATGGCCTTGATATAAAACAACGGGTCTAAGGAGGTGTTAGATTGATTCCTGCGACCTGATTTGAAACGTCATGGATCAACATGCAAGATCTGGCAAGGCATGTTCTCTGTGTCCCTAGCTTGCTTAATTTTCGTGATGTTGGGAGAGGGACTGGCTGGCTGGCTGGCTGGCTGGCTGGCTGGCTGGCTGGCTGGCTGGCTGGCTGGCTGGCTGGCTGGCTGGCTGGCTGGCTGGCTGGCTGGCTGGCTGGCTGGCTGGCCGGCCGGCCGGGTAGCTGGGTAGGTGGGTAGGTGGGTGAGCGGGGATCTGATATCCCGTCTCGTAGGGCGAAGACGAAAAATCTCCAGCAGAGAGTTTATCATCAAGTTTATCGATTCCGTACCTCAATCAACGCACATCGAAAGACGGGAATTCATATACATCCACATGTCAAGGAGCTTCGTTGCGGCGCTGCAGCCCGTGGTTCACTGTCAATCGGGTGTTTGCATCTTGGCCTGATTTGTCTGCTGTTGACTCAGCTGGAGTTAACTTTGCCTAGTAACCGTGGCGTTGCCACCAACATAACAATGTTTCCGCCCGGGATCGAACCGGGGGCCTTCCGCGTGTTAGGCGGATGTGATAACCACTACACCACGGAAACACCTGACGGTGGCATACGAGCCGGCGGCTTCGGAGACAGGGGCCGACCAACTGACCTAAATATAACCGGCTCTCCAGGGGCGGGTCCATCTTAAGTGAAGGCTGACCAGTCGGTCAGCCATGGCGCCCCAACTTTTCACACCAGGTGGGACTATCACCGGGGCTGTAGCTCAAGTGGTAGAGCGCTCGCTTAGCATGTGAGAGGTACGGGGATCGATACCCCGCAGCTCCAACCCATTGTTTTCACGCTTCACATCAAAAACCGGCCGGGGCTTTGTCCACTCCTCCCCGCCGGTGTCTGTGCCGCCGTCTCACACCCGAGTCTGTCCGGTAGGCCCCACTCCGCCCCGCCGGTGTCTGTGCCGCCGTCTCACACCCGAGTCTGTGCGGCAGGCCCACTCCTCGCTGTTGGCTGTGCCGCCGCCTCACACCTGAGTCTGTCCGGCAGGCCCCACTCTGCCCGCCGCTGTCTGTGCCGTCGTCTCACACCCGAGTCTGTCCGGCAGGCCCCACTCCTCCTCGCTGTTGGCTGTGGCGTGCGAGCGGTGCGTGCTGGTCTGGACCGTGGAGCCGAGCTCGGTCATCACCAGACCGTCGGGCACCTGCGCCCAGACGCTGGCGGCGCCCGGCCACGCGCCCGTCACCTCGGTCCGCTGGAGTCCGCTGGTGAGCTGCGCCGAGTGCGCCGAGGCGTGGCGGGCGCGCCACGCAAGGACGCTGTGTGTGGTGGGCGATAGAGCCGTCCTCTGCTGGGATCGACACTGACCTTGAGGGATGGACATCCTCTGCTGGGATGGACACTTCGATGCTGGTGCCAGTTTGGAGCGGTGTGTAATGATTTGGAGCTCCAATGGCGACGACGGTGCCCCGGTGCTGTGTTGTGCCCTCTGTCAGGGAGACCTACTGATGTCGGCCAGTCCCAGTGACGATGCTCTGCTGCTGTGCTGTGTCATCTGTCGGGGACCTGCTGATGTCGGCCAGTCCCAGTGACGGTGCCCCGATGCTGTGTTGTGTCCTCTGTCAGGGAGACCTGCTGATGTCGGCCAGTCCCAGTGACGGTGCCCCGATGCTGTGTTGTGTCCTCCGTCAGGGAGACCTGCTGATGTCGGCCAGTCCCAGTGACGGCGCTCTGCTGCTGTGGAGCGTGGCGGAGGAGTCTCACGTGCCGCTGAAGCGGCTGTGGCGCGCCGGCCACACCCTCTGCCGTTGGAGTCCCGACGCCAGCCGAGTCTTCACCGCCACCACGGGGCCCACCTTCAGGTCAGCGGTCGGACACGCCGGCGCCGCCGCTCAGCGTAGGGGCAGCGAGCGTGAGCGGCTTACGTCACATGTGGTAGATGAAGGGAGTCGCGTGGTGGGCCCTGGCGGCTTGCAGCATGACCCGGGAAGGGCCGTTCGCCTGCCTTTTGTTGCTGCACTCGTGTTGTCGACCGAGTTACCTGGTTCATTTGTTGATTTTGCGGCTAGTCAGTGATGGACTGTGACGATTGGAGCTCGGTAGCATCTGCGTCCTTTGATATGGATGTAATAAAAACAGTCGCGTCTTCTCTCCTTCTACGTTCGGAGTGTTGGCTTTCGGACGCGGTGTGATGCCTCCGACGTGGTCTTTCTCGCGCTTAGCCTCATCCCGACGCCATCAGGCGCCTCCTACCCGTCCACACGCCTGGCCCGTCCACACGCGATCAGGCGCCTCCTTCCCGTCCACACGCCATCAGGCGCCTCCTTCCCGTCCACACGCCATCAGGCGCCTCCTTCCCGTCCACACGCCTGGCCCGTCCACACGCCTGTCGTCCTACGCAAGCCGTGTCCATCGGCCACCAGACCCGGTACCCGTCCCGCCGGCGGTCGGGTGCCGGCACCAGCGGCGGCCCCGCGCGGTCTCCCGCACCGATCTCTCTCCGCCGGCAGGGTGTGGGAGACGGGCCGGTGGACGGACGAGCGGTGGCGCTGCGCGACTGCCGGCGGCCCGGTCAGCGCCGCCTGCTGGTCACCGGACGGCCGCGTCGCCCTCTTCGTCACGTCGGCCGAGCCTGGTGAGGCGCCGGCGGCCGCCGCGGCTCGGAGGCGGTGCCGCACGCGGGCGTGGGTGGCTCTCGGGCTCAGTGTCACGCGGGGCCTGACGGGGAGCGGCGCAGTCCCGTCAGATGTGTGTGTGTGGCGCTGTGGTGCTCGGTGGGGCCTGACCGGGAGCGGCGCAGTCCCGTCAGATGTGTGTGTGTGGCGCTGTGGTGCTCGGTGGGGCCTGACCGGGAGCGACGCAGTCTCGTCAGATGTGTGTGTGTGGCGCTGTGATGCTCGGTGGGCCTGACCGGGAGCGGCGGAGTCTCGTCAAATGTGTGGCGCTGTGATGCTCGGTGGGGCCTGATTGGGAGCGGCTCAGTCTCATCAGATGTGTGTGTGTGTGTGTGGCGCTGTGATGCTCGGTGGGGCCTGACGGGGAGCGGCGCAGTCCCGTCAGATGTGTGTGTGTGGCGCTGTGGTGCTCGGTGGGGCCTGACCGGGAGCGGCTCAGTCCCGTCAGATGTGCGTGTGTGTGGCGCTGTGGTGCTCGGTGGGGCCTGACCGGGAGCGGCGGAGTCTCGTCAAATGTGTGTGTGTGGCGCGGCGCTGTGGCGCTCGGTGCAACCTGACCCGATTCATCGGCGGGAGACCTGTGCTGCCAGCTGCGCCACTGCCATCTGGTGACCGCAGTGGCGGCGCCCACCCCTCCCATCTTAAGGGGACTGCAGATCCCGACGCGTTTGGCGTCACCAGCTGCCTGTTGAAGGGATAGCTGACTTCGTTATGGTCCACCCAGCGAAGATGTCAATGAGTCTGAGGTGTGCGGGTGACCGAGGATCTGCTGCTGTTTCAGTGGTGTATTCGCTCTCCTTCATGCCCGTTCTGCTGATGGAGTCGGCACCCAAGCCTGTTCCGGTCATTGACCTCACTGCCCGTCGCCTGGACCACGGAAAGGAGATGATCCAGTGAGCACCACACCCGGCCGATGTGTCTTGACTTCTCTTAAGCTGTGTTCGTATGGGTGCTTTCTCTCATACATGTTCTCTACTAGAAAACGCACAATGCAGCACCGCTTTGGCGAAGATTATGTTTTATGGTGATATTTTTACCAAGTAGGCGGGAATCTTTTCGCTCTTCATTTTCAATTTTTCAGTAAGTATTGCCCTCTGTGGATGGCTCGTTGAAGCCCCTTGATGCGTTATCTTAGCACGGATTTCGTACGGCCAATGGCGCAGGCAAGGGAGGGGGGGGGGGTGACACAGGAGACGTGCCCCTTTAGATATCAGTCAGAGTGTCTCTTTCACCGATTGGGAACCCCTGGGATAATAGACATGCCCCTGAGATGTCAGTCAGAGTGTCTCTTTCACCGATTGGGAGCCCCTGGGATAATAGACATGTCCCTGAGATGTCAGTCAGAGTGTCTCTTTCACCGATTGGGAACCCCTGGGATAATAGACATGCCCCTGAGATGTCAGTCAGAGTGTCTCTTTCACCGATTGGGAGCCCCTGGGATAATAGACATGCCCCTGAGATGTCAGTCAGAGTGTCTCTTTCACCGATTGGAAACCCCTGGGATAATGCGGACCCCTATTTCTGCCAGAGACCACCAACGCGGAAAAATCGGCTCCTTCCCGGCCTGAGCAGCTGTGGGGGCTCATTTCCCAAGGAGGAACGAGGCCGGGGTCCGCGATTTGAATTAGTCGGGGCTCCTACAACAGCGAGGGGCGTTGCGACGGTCAGCGCCTTACAGGGAGCAGGCCCCGTGTCGGCCACTGGTCCCAAGTCGGCCAGGGTAGCATTTGCTGAACAGGGACAGGACTTCGAATGTCAGGTGCCCCTTGCGTTGGTAGGGACCCTCTGTCAATGCGGGGAGACGTGAAAGTTTATGAATGAGAGTCCACAATGAGACAATGGAAAGGCCTCGTGTCAGTCAGCCCCCCCCCCCCCCCCAGTACCGAATGAGGGGGGGGGGGGGCTTCACCCCATTTCAACCAAGGACCCATGGATCCGGACTGGAGTCTGCCGATTATTGGACCACGTGTGGCAATGACGGGTCGTGGTGCGTCAATGAAGGCTCCTGCGTCGCTTTGGGGCTAACCGCCCGGGCCAGAGGACCTTTCGCGTCAGGAAGGGAACCAACGTATAATGTATCTTTGTAAGGGCCGCTGGGTTAGGCCGGTGGCCCCGCCCCCGTGTCGCCAGAATGGCAGCTATTTGCCACCACGCGCTGGGACGGAATGGCCCTTCAACGCCTGGCCGGGAACGATAATGTGCCCCTGGTGTTCTACCCACTGGGCCCCTTGCTCGGAAAGGGTAAGGGATGTCATAAGTATGCAATACGGTGGCTCGACATGAGGTTAAAAATAAAGAATGGTCGAACCATAGTTGTCTGAAGACGTCCGTCCTTTTCAGAATGGGCTTGTGAAACAAATAACAAAAAGTTCTGAACCTGCACGTTTGCAATCTTAGGAGAAAATGGCTGTGGTGGGAATGCAGTTTCCGGAAAGCCGAACGGCGTTGGTCGCTGCAGACATCAGGCGGTGGGCATCGGACATCTGTAGAGATGTTATCTTATAGTTCTCCGAATTTAAACAGCAGTTCGTGGTGTAGTAAATGCCAATCCGCTTCTTTTATCACACTGGAAGTGGTACCGGCGAAGTCTACGCGATTACTACCTTTTAAACGTACGAATTGGTGTCTAAAAGCATTCAAAGAGGCTTATTTCAGAGCGTCATCATTTCCGTCTGCTCGTTTGTCGTCTTTTAGTGTTAACCGCAAATCTGACGCTTTGAAGCCAACGGGGACTTCAACGCAGAACATCGGGGTTCTTGTGTGCAAGACTTGCGAGCGCGCATGTTGAAAACTGTGTTACAGAATTTGTACCACTTACGATTCTGACTGAAGGTTGAACATTCCCAGACGAGCATGACTTGGTCATATTAATGCAAGTTTTTTTACTCCATTTCAATGCACAACTTACGTTTGCGGGGCCCATAGTATTTCTGTACAGCACAGGGAAATTAGGTCAAAGCCGTATTCTATCGGTTTAGAAGGGGCTCACCGAATCATTGCAGAATTAAAAGCGCTGGCGGATTATTCCATGTGGTGATTTGACGCCCGCTTGCTTGAGTTTATTGTCTTCAAAATATAAACAGAATGACATTTTCCGATGCTTTCTGGCTTTCATTTCAACAATAGACGGCCAAAATGACAAGACGATAACGAAAATCAGTTCTCTTCGAAACCAAGTGGACTGTATGCAGCGACTATTTCGGGGAAGGGGTGGCTTTTGTCATCAGTGTGCTCCTTGCCAACCCTGTGCCCCCCGTTACCAAGGCTGCGGCTGCGCCGCTGCGTGCGGCCTGTTTGCCGCGTGTCCGGTCGGCCGGCGCCAGGGGATACCGGCCGGCGTGCTGCCGTGTGACCGGCGTGCCCGCCGTCCCCAGCGTCGGCGGCGAGGTCAGCGGCCTGACCTGGGACAGCACCGGGCGGCGGCTGGCCGTCTCGTTCGTCGACAGTGACGCCGTGGCCGTGTTCTCCACCGAGCTGCATCCGCACCTCAGGATCGCCGCCTGGTACGGCACGTGGCGCCGCCGCATCGCGGCGTCTTGTGGTGACCTCCTGGCTGGCAGCCCCGACCTGCACACTGTGTCTTACGGTCGGTTTATGCGGCGGAGGCTAGATTAGTGGAAGAGATTGTCCACTCGTGTGGAGGGTTGCCTCCTGTTTCTTTCCGTAACGCGCCATCATCTCGATTTCTGAATCTTAAAACGGCACGGTTAGCTGCGAAAAGATGTTTCATGTTGTATTTGTGAAACTTTGTCTCCCAAGCCGGGGGCAAATGTTGACCAGCTGGTTCCCCTTAGCACGTTGCCATCACGCGAAGCACTCACGTAAGTTAGATAAGCTGTCCACGTGTGCCGTCTGCCAGGTTCGTACGCTCGTGATACGGACACCCCATGGTCGGCCTGGATTTGGGGAGACGGTTTGGCCCTGCTCGGACGGCGTCCAGGTCTGCACCCTTCACATGTCCCGTCCGTGTTCAGCGGCCTGATCCGCGGCCTGCGCCCCTTCACACGTCCTGTCTGCATTTAGCAGCCTGATCCGCGGCCTGCGCCCCTTGACATGTTCTGCCCGTGTTCAGCGGCCTGATCCACGGTGTGTGCCCCTTCACACGTCCTGTCTGTATTCAGCGGCCTGATCCGCGGTATGCGCCCCTTCACACGTCCTGTCTGTGTTCAGCGGCCTGATCCGCGGCCTGAAGGACGAGTACCCGGTGGCCGTCGAGTTCCAGATGAACCTGCAGGACACTACCAGCCTCTGCGTGGTAAGCTTCCTAGTCGATTTGGCGACTTAGGTCGGTGCCGGATTCGATTTTGGCTCGGCCGTTTTTTTTGTAGGTGGCATAGTTGCTGATCACCTTGATCTCACTGAACGCTTTGATGGCTTATCTGAAGGACATCGCGTCGGACGATGAATGCCGTGCGCCGGCCCGGTTCGTGCCTGGCCGTGTTTGGGAGACCCACCCGCGCTGTTGCCGCCGCACCTGTCCTCAGCTCCCAAGCCTGGGCTTCATTAAACGGGCTACGCCTTTTAGCACGCGTCGCCACAACCACAGGTGGTAAGTCAGCTGTGCTTAAAAGCCACAAGTCAGCGAATTAAAAAAGTGTTGATAATAGCGCAAACAACGTTGAATGTATAGAAGTACAAGTGGAGACGTCTGGTGATCTTGCTATGCTGTGCTCTGCTGTAAATCATGCCGCGCTGTACGTGGGTGTCCGCCTCACGGCTATACCGCCGCTCCGCAGGCGTGGTCGAGCGGACGCATCCAGCACGTGCCGATGCTGGTGCCGGCGTCGGCCGCCGGCGGCCTGCTGGAGAGCAGCGCCCTCTCGGCCTCGGTGGCCGCCAGCCCGGGCCGCTCGCTCGGCGACGCGTCCCTGCTGCGCTCGCCCGTCCAGCTGTTCTCTGTCGACTCGCCGTGACGCCCCGGCCGGCTCAGGTCACGGTCGGGGGTGGGCTTGGTGGGGCACCCGGCGGGACCTTTGTGGACGGTGCTTCGGGGCTGGACGCCGGGCGAAGGGGCGCCAGACGTCACGAGGATGTGAGGGCTCTGTCTACCGGCTTCCACGTGCGGCTGAGATGCCTTCTGAGAGGTGGAGCTGACTGCATTCGACGCTGTCCTCCTGCCATCCAGTGCAGCGTGCCGATGGCCAGCGCAGGGACCTATCAGTGAAGACTATTTTTACAGTGTTGGGCCGATGGTTACTAAAATAAACTGTGGTTGTGATGGCTGCGTGTTTTGTGTGACCTCTGCTGGCGGTGCGACGCCGCACCACACCAGCGTTACCCTAGCCGGCGCACTCGTGCCGGAATGGCCGTCTTCGCCGCCGGCCGGCTCGACTCCGATAAGTCGGGCGCCGCTCGAGATAAGTCGGTGTATGCGGCAGCGCGCCCCGGCCGCGGGCGACGTCTCCCCACTGTCACGCCGTCCGTGCGCGGGAGCCCGCCGTCGCAGGAGGCCTCGCGCGAGCCGGAGCGGACCGGCGGCCCCCGACGGGACCTGGGCGGAGGGACAGGCAGCCGGGCGGGGATCGACGCCCTGCGGGGGTGCCAGGAGGTTCGGCGTGGGTCGCGGTGACCGCCGGAGTCACCCTCCAGTGTGCTGCCAGGTGAGGTGCGGGGTGTCGTCTGACGTCAGAGGTCGTCTCGGTGGAGGTTGCGTAGGGCAGTTGTGGCTGGAAGGGTTCATGGAGTGTCATGATCAAGAACATTGCTAATGCCGTCGTTCCTGGGCGTGTCTTTTCATGTCATCTCGTGTGGATCGGGCCTTTCGTTCTGTCTTCCGCCTGATGGCACAGAGTGATCAGCTGTTTTTTTTTTATCGGCAGTTGTCTGATAGGATCCTCTGGGAATTTGTGGTGAACTTTTTTTATTTTAACGAATAGCATGTTTGCCAACATCGATCGTCAGGCGGAGCGTCCGTCCGTGCCGTCTTGTCAAGAGGGGGCCAGGGAGTTCAAGCCAAATCCCGGTAGCAGTTGCAGATTATCCAGAAATGGTGTCCGAATCGTCTCCAGTGCTGGGCACCAGTGCGTTTGCTGTATTGGTACTGCAGGCACGCTCCGTGCACATTCGGCTCAGGCGCCATCGAAATGTGGGCTGAAATAGGGTCATCAAATGACGCAACAAGAAAAGGGACAAGGTTGGGATTTTGGGCTATCGGGTAATGATAATTCAAGCAGTCTTTTATTGGGAGCAATCGCCAGTATTCGATGCGAGCATATCTTCCTGATACCAACTATTGCTGCCAATGAAAGACTGCGCCGGACCATTGGCGATTGCTCGTAGACCTATCAGAGTTCACTCCTGCTTGGTAAGTGCACAGGTGGCAGATTCGTGCTGATAAGACACCAGCACAGTCACGTGGATTGATCCTGTCACTCAAGTTGATACCATCACTGCAGTGAGTCAAAATTCAGGATTAAGAGTGAAAAATGCCATGTTTGTTAAACGATGTCGGTCTCACGGTTCTGTACCTTCCGCAATTTCTGTCTCACTCATGGACATATCTGATTTCCCACGTCTTTCTGTCTCCTGCGGTGCTTTGGCGAAGACGCTTCAGTTAACGCGGCATATTTTGTCGGGGCGATTTGGACGCACTATCGTTCAAGAGCTACTATTCAATCCATTGCATCCCAACTGAAATGTTTGTTGACAGCGCAATTTGTTTGCCTGTCGGGGGCGTGACTATTGCGGCGATAGTAAAGCTGTCCTGATAGCTTGAACAAGGACACCGACTGAATTTCGATAGCTTCTGTCTGGGTCTCTGTTGAATGTTTCGACTTTTGGTGTCCTGAGATCTAGAAGATGTGAATTATTCCGCGGAACACACTAGCTCCAACGCAAGTTTTGTGTAGCCCCGCGCTCCCCATAGCACTACAGATGAAGAGTGGGTGTAAGGCTGGTCCCCTTGGACGTATCCACATTAGATGTAAGCGATTACGATACCAGTCATCCAGCGTGCGAGTCTCACTGCTTTATATGCCCCGTTAGAACGTCCTTTGTGCCTCGTTTTACTACGCTGTTGTCTCTATCGAGCCTCTGACGTGAAGACCAACGTGTGTGCAGATTCTAGGAGCCTGGTAACAACGTTGTGTCTTCGGCAGACCGGGCCCGTGCGGACATCAGCGACGGTGTCACCCGACAGCGAAGGCGCGATGGAGAAAGGACTGTCGAAGGCCCAGGGACCAAGTGGGGGACACCCTCTGGAAGTCCTGCCTTCCCTGAATAGAGGAATTTCGGAGGGAGCCAAATCATCGGATGAAAGACCGACGAAGTATGTGAAACTTGCGCGCGAAGGACGTCCAGAGGAAGAGAGAACGCAAGTAGTAAGCGCTGAGGAAGAAGCCGTTGACTTGGCTGAGCAAGCTTCAGGGGACGGCACCGGCCAGGCTGTGCTGCCAGATGGGGCGGTGTTGCTAGATCTGGGGGTGCCGCCGAGTGAGGTGGTACGGTTGGACCTCTCAGATCTGGCCGAGGATGAGGCGGAGACCATCCTGGGAGTACTCGGCAAGGACTCCGTGTTCCGCGCGGAGGAAAAGGGACGCATCGAGTGAGTACTATTCCAGCCTGATCGGTGTTCTGTGCTGTAACAAATTATCCGAATCTTTTCTAATGGGGGCATTTCTGGGGAGGTCCTGCCCAGACACACGCTATGAAGTAATTGTTGAGGCTTAACCCATACCATTCGGTCGTGCAATTCCAGGTCAGCGTCTGAATTTGGTGGCAAAAGTTTATTGTGCCGCAATGCTGGGCACGGCTTGTCCTGCTCTCTGACGTCACCTGACCTTTCGCGCGGCCGCCGCTACGGGCCACAAACCATATCTGTCAAAATAGCGAGCGCCTAAAGCGGCTCGAACCCACCCCACCATGGGTGGATGAACTGAAATGCAAGCCCAGCATCAAACCACAAACGCCCGATATCAACCCCGTGGTTACGTTCGTGGGAAGTTTTGCGTGATCACGCACCTCCCAGTATAATTGCTAACGTCTGTTCTCACGCAATTCGGGGGTGAAGGTAGTACGCACTGTGCGAAGCTGCTATCGCGCATGCACATGAATTATTTCGCCTTTGAGGTTCCGCGCAACATTGATGTGTTAAGCGTGGAGGTGGTAGCTGGGAGGTTCATGTCCGAGTCTGTTACCGAACCCGTTCATATTGAGGCTTAGCTTGAATTGTGGTGCACAACGTCTATATCCTTTCGGTCCAGTGGAATTATCCGTATCCTGTACAAACGTCGAAACAGCATGATTCCGCCGCTGAAATGTTATGTAACCATCCCCATTTATAGGACTGTTCAGCAGCGTGCGCAGGGTTTTGCAGTGGCAAACACAACTTAAGATGCTTAGCTGAAAACCCCTTTATCGGGCCACAAGCCCGCGCAATTTCTTCCATGGCATATCAACACGTCGCATGTTTTCAATCTACTTATTTGTATGCGCGTATCTTGAGTTATAAAGCACTGTAATTCACTTACATGTATATTCATCCTTGTACGAATTTGAATGGGGAGGGGGTCGGGAGAAGGCTCGTGCCCACGGTGCCCCCTTGATTACGCCCTCGGGGTTATTGATGAGGGGACATGACGACCGCGGGGGAGACGTGGCAACGCGCTTCAACGACAAATTTTACCTTGGAGAAAGGCGTGGTTGTAACCACTTGGGAGGGTGGGCGTTGGGAGGTGGGAGGGGGCTGGAGAACACGTCCCCCGTCACAAAGTGTGATTTCCTTCCCTCCAATTTTATGTTTAACGTAATACTTCTCGCGTTTTTCCATTTAAGATGAAATTTTCAGGCTAGGTTATCCCCAGATTTCAGTGTCATTCTTCCACTCCTGATTTGCCCCACAAACTCAAGGACACGGTCACACCTATGGGAGAGAGGCGTCTTTTTTCGATTAGTCCTTGGTTGTTAAGTGAACGTTGGAGCGTTGTTTCCACTCCGAAAGCGTAGTGTACTCGCACGTACGCTCCAGCCTTTGTCGGACCTCCCAATGGATGCATTCTATCTGGCCTCATTAGGCTGCAGTGGCGTGAGCCCAAGACCGCATACGGTCTCACGCTTATGCTAATGTGGGCGTATTACATACCCCGCACCGGCCGTAACTGTCCATGCGAACGTAGCCTTGTACTTTATACCACGAGTCGCGCGCGCTGCCGCCTTCCACGACATCGCAGCGGTGGTAATAGCAATGAACACATGTCAGTCTCGGGCCAATGAGAAAGGCTGCGTTCTGAATTCAGCAAGTTGATGGTGGAATTCAATAAGTTGATGGGTTGAAGCACGGGCCCTCCGATGAGGGCGCGGAAGCTACCGGAGAGGAGTGGGGCGGGCCTCCCTCCACGCCCCTGAGTTTGACACAGGTGGCGCTGGTGCGCGTGTGCGATGCCGAATTCATCGGCTTCTGAACAGCATCCCGCCCCACGGGGTCAGTAGCCAGGAGCAGCAGCGAAGCAAGCTCGCGTGCAGAAGTTCTGTACCACTTCACTGCGTGGGGAGCCTGCAGAAGCCCTGTACCACTTCAAGTAGCTGTGAAGTGGTACTTATAAGATGCTCGCCATGTGTGTTAAAAACAGTTTCTTTCCTTGTGTTTCCCGGCGCATTTTTCCCCCCCAGCGCACTGCATACTGCTTTTTGGGAGGGGCGAGTCTCTTGAGAGCCGATGATTTTCGATAACATTTTTCACACCATCACTTGAGAGTTGATAATTCTCCATAACACCCTGACGAATAAATCCACGAGTGGGGCAAGGAATGCAATTATGCGGTCGGATTGGCTCGGGCTTTTCGCAATGAGTTACGTATGATTAGTACCCAAGAACTCCATGCGAGACGTCGTATGCATTACTTTTAGAAACAGACTGTGAACCCTGAGTCGTTATCCAGTAATGCGAGTTGTATGAAACTAAGAATGTAATTTAGACATGGTCGGGGCCATGGCACATTGGGAGGCTCCAGTAGCCTGAGAAGTATGATCATGTGAAAGGGACATTGGAGGTGTGCTGGAAGCTCTCTCAAGTTGGCGCGACTATAGGCATTATTTTGACTGCTTCTTTCCAGTCATCACCTTTATGGGGTTAATGCTAGATTATAAGGGGGTTGATGGCTCAGCCCCCCACCCTCGGCCATCATCTTCACACCATCACGTGAAAGGGACATTCGTGGGGCATTGGAAGCTCTCTCAAGTTGACGGGACTATGTGCATGTTAGCTACTTCCTTCCAGTCAACACTTTTATAGAGCTAATGCTAGATTTAAGGGAGCTGGGGCCGGCCTCCTCAGTCCCCCCCCCCCTCCCCTCCCCCGGTCCCATTGGTTTCCGCTCCTCTGGGACGTTTTCACCTAAATATAACCGATATTTAAATGCAGGACACGTACGTCGCAAGGCAGCCTTGTCCGAATTGAAATATGAAGTCCGCTTTCCAAAAGTCGTCCCCCAAATCTAAACGTCTTAGGTGAAAGAAAAGGTGTTCTGTCAGTTCCTGGTGTTGGCTGCTCTGATCTGTGGTCATCGCTGTTTAAAATGCTTAGGTGACATAAGTCTTGGCTGCGTGTCACAAAATAAGTACATTTGGCCAACTTTGCGCTGAAGCTGCTACATTCAAAAGCAGCATGGTAGTTGTGACGGTGTATTTCTATCAAAGAAAGGAGCGCTAAACCACCCCTATGGTACTAAGTACGTCGCAGTCATTTTGGCTCCGGCTGCATGCGTCGGAGATAAACACATTTATGAAGGCGTGCAACCAAAATCGCGAGGCTACATTGCACTGAATTCAGGTGTTTATTCGGGTATACGCCGTCTGGCCGGTCATATTTGCTTGCATGGAAATGTTTTTAATGGATGATGTATGTACATACAACTGATTTTGTTGACTGGTTTGACAGCGTATGGCGACTAACAACGGCAGTTTATGACAAATGGGTTCTCGTTGTTAAAGGTGATTGTCGTCTGTTGGTGTCAGTGTTATCCACTACTGTAGTCAAGCTTCATGGATCGAAAATACGTGCTACGATTTGCTACTGTATCGCTTTCGGACTCGCATTCATTTTTATGCACGTGTGGTATTACATGCGATGACTGGTTCCAATCTTTACTTTCGATAGTCTTTTTGGAACTGGCCTCAGGGTGTCAGAGGTTGGACGGTCTTAGGAGCACCCCTGTCAGCAGGCATTTATAACTCTGCAGTGGCTGAGCCAGGCTCGACGTTCGCCGGGCTGATTCGTTGTCAGCGAGGAGCTCAGGACAATCCTCGGCGACGATACAGCGGTATCTGGTGAGATATCACCGCTATAGCTGTACGCGCAGCTCAACGACGGGGTCGGTGGCAGCGGCCATCGCGTTATCAGAGGCTTGGGGTGCATGGGGCACACCCCGGGGTGCACGCGGCACACCCCGTCGCCGATGGCGCTGGGATCTCGGTCGGCTGAGGGAGGAGGGTGCCGCGTCACCGGATGAGGGGAGGAGGGTGCCGTGTCACCGGCCGAGTGGCGGCGTCGAAGATCCGACAAAGCGAGGAGGGAGCCGTGTCACCGGCGGAGTGGCGACGTCGAAGATGACCGGCTGGGGGAGGGGGAAACGATGCTACCGGCTGAGGGAGGAGGGAGCCGTGTCACCAGCCCCGAATGGCGGCGTCAAAGTGACCGGCTGAGGCCGCCAGGCGTGAGGACACATCCGGATTTGTGCAGAGGAGAGAGTCACTGTGTTAGCTCAGGTATAGCAGCCCAGTCCCCGGAACTGCGTGAAACGTGGCGTACGAGCAAGCAGGGGCGGCGGCACGGATTTTGACTTAGGGGATATTTTACAGGGGGCCTCTTGGGCATAATGGGGCCTCCTCACAGCGAGGGGGGGGGGGGCTCGCGGACAGTACCGTATATGGGGGTCGGGGGCACCGAGGGCGTGTGCCCCTTATTAAATTGTCACATGTATTTTATCCAAGTGAACAAGCGTCGGCAATGATAAAATCAAGAATAGGGCCCTTCTGATTATCTAGCAAAAGGTCTCGCTATCTTAAAACAGCCTCCTGTTTCAGAAAAGTGTCTCCTAATGTATAAAGGTGCGTCCTAATTTAGAACAGCACGCTTTCGGTTTACGAATTACTTCCAAAACTAGTCAAAGGGGACTCATTATTCCAAAATGGGGCCTTTTGGTTCGGAACCGCGGCCAACTGATGCATGAAAGTCCCCTCCCTCCCTTCTTCTAGAAATGGGACCTAAATATAGAGGGCGCCTCCAGTCCTAACCCAGAACAGGGGCCTCCTAGTTCGTAACGAGAGCCTGTCGAGCGAGCAAAGGGGCCTTTGTAACGTACGATTGGGCCTAATTGTCTAGAGCATGGGCTATTTTTATACAAAAAGGTGGTCTCATGATACAGGAGATAGGCCTATCGATGAATAAGGGGGTCTTCTGTTTGTTACTCTTCAGCTCAGTTTTAGGGCATCACCGATATGAAGCTGGGCAATCTGAGGGCAGATACATTGTCTTTAGTTCGAAAAAAGAGGCTTCATGCCCTTGTCCCCTGCCCTGCCAAGCGAAGGAGGGGGGAGCAACTACCCTCT